AAACATGATTTCACGGCGCAATGCACCGTCCCTTTGCTCTCAATTGCCTACGGGGGACCATTCAATCCGATCACAGCTCAACGGTATTTAAGAACCTGCAATGTCAAATGCATGTCGCATCGCCTCCTGACATCATCCGTTACAGCCACCTCGCGCTAATCGCAAAGGACGTTTCAGGAGCTTGCACTCCTCATATCTGCCGCATAAACAGCATAAGCTGTCCGTACTCTGAGCAGGTTAAACTACGTACGACTTCTCCAAGACCAGATTTCATGGAGCACCGCACTCCTCTCTCTGGGCAACTAGGAGCATTTGCAGCTGAAGCCGTAGAACAAAGACAAATCACCATGAAATATCACGCTATCCGGCAAGTTCGGCTCTGCCCTGCGCGCACCACAGCACTACTAGCACTTTCGTTTGCGGTTACATTATTCAGGTTTGGACCTGTCCGTATATTACCATAATGGCTGATATGGCTTACCTGACAAAAATGTCGGAAAAGTCTCATGTATAAAAACTACTTCGAATCGTAGTTGCCATTTTAACGAAGACTTGGAGGTCTCATATAAACTTGTATCGTTCTATTCTTGTACGGTCGTGTTCTCTTCAGTTCACTGGTGTGTTATATGTTTCATATGGATGCTTTACTGCTATTGCCGTACCTCAGGCTGCTTAAAATCAGGCACGACTATCACCTATGACAGTACTGCCCAGAGTTGATGTTGCTGACTGATTGATCGTCAGACTCTGAACCGAGAGGTCCCAGTTTCCAACCTCATCAGCTAACTTGTTTCTTCATTCTAAAGTTGATAAATGAGCGGCTGTAGGTAGGAAACGTTAGACTACGCACCGTGTTTGTTGCATTGCTACTACCGACTGTCATTTAAAAAAATTAAATAGAAAAAATAAGCCCATCCCGATGACGGCACCGAGATCAGCCCCCCGCCATTAAATTCATGAAAAGAAAGGGACTAGAAATGACCTGATATTTTACGATTAAAATCTTTCCTCTCATTTCTTTTTTACGGCAGTAAGCTTTAACTGATTATACATTAATATAGCAATTCTATTGGTTATCGCTCTAAAGCCGCTTTGTTCCTGATTCTGCCACCCGTCCCTACCCGTATTTCAAAATGTTGATGCATATCATCTTTCTGAAGAACTGCATTATCTGCACTATCCCTACTTCTTGATGAAGTTACTTATTTTGCCTAAAACGACAGACTACCTTAAAATAACCCTTACCACAACGGTGACCGGTTCTTTGATTGGACCTTTAGCGTAAAGGCTTTCGAAAGCGACTCTACCATTTTTTATTCTTTCGTATTCGAACGTGGTGCCGGCGATATCGACGCTTTGTGGAAAGTCGATCTTCCAGTTTCCGTTTAGAAAGTACTGACCACTTTCGTTTCTTAATGCTAAAGTTTGACGTTTAGAAAAAATCAGTAGCATAGAAAACTCAGGGCGTTTCACAAAGTCCCGTGCCTAAATAGTTGTTCGTTGGCTTTCGCTCCTTGACCAAAATCGACGTTGCACCCGGAGGAAAAGTGATTATGTCATGGTAGCCCGGCTCAAGCTGGCTTTCGTCGAAGAAGCCTTCCAGCGTCTTGCAGGTCGAGCCGTCACCATCGCACACCCGACATTTATCCTCCTTCGCTGATGAGCCAAGCATATTGTTGCAGCCGAGGGGCTAAAGGGCGCAATGTTAACGAAAACAGCAGCAGTGACGCGCTAGTCACGAAATGCTCACCAGACAGTAGCCCTCAACACAAATATCGTTCGAAAGTGCGTCGCACTTGGTTCCATCTATGACCTTGTCCGCCCATTTGTAGTAGAAGTTTTCTCCCTCAGGGATGCAAGACAGTTCGCATTTGTTAGGCGCTACAAAACGGTAAACCGTACTACAGAGGTGAGGCTTCCACGAAGCTCGGCGAGTTAGTGACTTGCTTAGATTCTCGCCAAAGCAGTAAAATAATTACCTCGGGTGTATGGTTTCCACATGTAGTACTTTCCTTCAAGGGGCTTATCGTTGAACTTTGCGCACTGTTCCGCCCTGAAGTTGGTATCTCCAGGACACGGCTAAAATGCAGATGATTACAAAGCGCAAACGAAGGCCACACACTATAGAAAATTACCTCAATGTTACAGGATACGTATCTTTTCTTCGGTCCTATGCAACCACTGTCCCTAAAAATAGAATTTATTTGTTTACGATTAGCAAGAGTAAAAATTTGTTTACTTTTTAACTAGTTTTAGCCACACCGCTTATTTTTGTAACTGTATATGCATGTTTCTTTGTTCACATTAGACATATATGCGCATCACAGCATAGTGATGGCTTTCAATAATTCTGATTTTATTTTGCTACGTAAAGTCAAAGTAAACACAACTTTGACAAATTATATTCGAGATACTCTTGGGGACCTTTCGATACCACCGCTGAAGACTGACACACATTATAAATGATACTGGGTTGAAACGGCAAAAATGCGAAAAAGAAATTTTTTCTCACTTTACACCAGAATCACTGTTATACCACCCCATTGCTTCGAAACGGCTAGGGGGATCATTTAAGGAGGTCACGGCTCCATTAAATTTAAGCGCCTTAGTGCACAGGACGCAGAACCGCGTCTCAAACTGAAGTTGAACAAAAGCATGTTCAACCAAGATTGCTACCTTCTGTAGGTGAACGAATGATAAAATATAACCCTGATGTTCTTGGGGACCTTTCGATGCCGCTGCTGAAGATATCACAATAAATATGACAATGAAATAAAGTAAACTTTTAAATGGTCCTGCTAGGCGTCTAGAAGCAGGGGGGTGATAATATGAGAAATAGAATTTCCTTTCTTTGCGCTGTGCATTTTTGCCGTTTCAGTTAGGTACTATTATTTTTAATGCAAACATAACTTTGATGGAACAATTTTACAGACCAATTGACTTGATCGGATATCACAAGGATTTATCGCCCCTTCGGACTTCTCGTTATCGCTTAACATTGTTTCCCGTTACGGGAAATACCTGCGAATCGCGAATCAGTACTGAACTTGATATCAGAGCTGATGTACTGCTAAAGAAAAATCCTGCCTAGCACCATCTTCGTTTATTCTTTTTGAGAGATGTTTAAGTTAACTTCAAGGATCAACACAAACTCACATATTTACACATAAACAACCAGGACAATGCGTACGCAAGCAGAGATCTGTACAAGAATGATCGACATACAAGAGCTTAGGAGTAGAAACAACAGCAGCAGTATCGAATTGCTTTAACAAATAGCTAAGTACGGTTCGAAACGTCGGTAACTTTGTAATAAAACCTAGATGTGGATCAATCCCGTAAAAACATGAACACCATGGAATTAATCTCTCGCATTAGAAATCAGTGTTTAATTACCAAGTCCTTCAACCCAATAGCAACCACATTCTAAACGCGCCAAGAAAGCCATGCCCTCGGTACCAAAACAGTACCATCTAAGGAGACGGGGAAGGGTACGTAAAGTTTTAGCCAATCTACAAGATGAGATGCAAGATCGGGTGAATCGCTGTGATTGCGCACTCCCTGAATCTGAACTGAACCTCTTAAACAAATAAAATAATAAATGAATATATTCAAGTAAATCAATGTTTCTAAAATTCATCCAAAGCCTACATGCTCTTGAAGAACACCTATGTTGATCGAAAAGTATTACGTTCACATAAAAGGGAACTAAAACAAAGGAGATATTCAACACTTACAAACAGCTCCTAGTTTCAATAACGACTCCACCGCCACAGGTGCGAGAACATTCTCTGCTGGTTTTCCAGTCTCCCCAGGGACCGGATTCTTTGTTTCTCGAGGAGTCAACTGTGAGATCATGCTGCCCTGATGTATATACAGGGTAAGCTTGCCTGGTCTTCCGAGACAGGACATGTTCAAAAGGCGGCTGAAAATCGCAAACTGTCAATTAACCATGTGAAACAACAACAGCATGGAAGAAACATAAATACGGCATATAAATAGCAACAACAAACAAACTAATGAATAGAACGCATAACCGAAGTTTCGACAACCAGGAGAGTTGAATTCTCATAGTAACTATGTAAAATTTGGTGCATCTTTATGACGGCCACGAAACAGCAATGAGTCTCAGTACTAATCGCGTTGTAGCAACTTGAAAAACCAAAGGAAGATGAACGTGCTAATGTCAGAAACCACAGTGTGAAACGAAACATGATTAACGATGTCAAGTCGAGAGGATTCACTTCCTGGTGCCGCGAGTATGAGCAAAATGCAAAATTGCAAAAAGTTTGTTGTCAAAGACCTGCCTAAGATGACGAAATATGACCTTTGCGCAGGAGTTATCATACCTGAAATAAATTTGAGGTTATTTAATACGGCTGAGATTTATTTGAATTTAACAGATCTACAACTCAAGCTTCGCTTCTATGTGACTGGGCTAGACTGAAACAGCCTAATGATGCTGCAGTTTGTGCAGTGAAACGCGCTGGCATTAAGCTGTTTACCATCTGTTGCACTTGGTTCCCCGAACCATGAATCAAATAATTACGTATTCAGGCTCTAGAGCCATTGGAGAACAGCTTGAATGACGACAGCTCATATATCATATAAATACATCATCAGAAACAGATAGGAATTTCAGCCAAATTCCTACAATGGGCGTTAATCTGCATGAAAGCCAATATCCATCGCAATATGCCTATTAATCTTAATCACAGTGGTCTCGACATAATGCCAGAAAACGCATGTGAAGAGTTTCTGATTGGTCATAAGTCATGATACGTTTAACGTAACGAACGCTTAATCCATCAATAAGAAAAACTACTAAACCATTAGCACAAAAAGTCTCGCCGTTCAAGTTCAAAGAGAAATTTACTGGCATGACTGAGAAAAGAATAAAGCAGACAACCCAGCAAGAGATAAATCATGGAAATAACGCCTATTAACAAACATTTGCTCATCATATGATAGCTGAGTCAGCGAAGAATGTACTCCTACGATACACAAATAATGGAAGTCTTTCCACAGCTTTTCTCTCAAGGATAAGCCTGCCTCTGAACTGGGTTCGGTTTAAGCAGAAATAAGTCGCTTGTGCTGTGAATAAAAACGTTTTTATATATTTTTCGGTTCTCATTTTAGCATCTTAAAACATGGCCCGGTTGTATGTGTGCAACATGCCACAATTAGCTACGCAGACAAAAGACAGGCATCAGTGTTCGCCTCGCAGTGAAAAAACTGACGAGGAAGCCGCGCGACACCTCCGCTCATCCGCCGAAAGTGCATTACAACCGCCTCTGTCCAAGTTCGATTTTGATGTGCAAGTATCAGTTCGAACGACGCAATTAAAACAACTATTAACAAGAGACCTATCGCGAATGAATCGTCTTTAAAATGACAAAACAAATCTGGGCGACATGGCGCCTTCGAAATACCGCAAAGAGGCATGCAATATTTATTTCTTCCATATTTACTTCGTTGTCTAGCTTGAACCGTTGAAAAGTCATTGTTTTATATTGTTTCCGATTTTCCATTTCGAAACAGTGCTGACTCTAGCAAAGATGATCTTGTTTCAAAGGAAAAACGCAATACATAGTATCCTCTTATGTCATGATAAAGTGTAGTACATTTATCATATTGTAGTGGTTAGTAGTAGCACAAGGAGCGGGCTAAGGTATGCGATATAGCTGCAAATTTCAGCCTCTTCGTGAATGTCCGGAAGTCAAAAGTAAAGAGGAAACCGTCGGCACAGTTTATCTACAAGTGAAGAAACCGGAAATAAAGTGCCTGAAGATCTGGAACGATTTAACTATCTCGGTTTCTGAAACATCTAAACAGCCTATTCCCCAGCCTAGTCGTTTTCCCTACGGAGAAAAAGGAAAGCGTCACCCTATCCGTATTGTATGTGCAAGTAAGGAACTACCACCAAGAATATTTGACCACGTTGTTTCGCAAGAAGACACATTTACACGTATCTACATCACTCTTCTAATCATTCAGATTGTGTCAAGAAGGGCGTGGTCAATACACTTCTCCAAAGAGGCCGGAAGATATGCGCAACAAATGATGATTTTCGCCAAGAACTAAATCACGTCAGATCGACGCTTAAAAAGAACGGCTATCCCATGAAGACTTTTAAAGAAGGCTTGGCAAATTTATTAAAACAGAAAGCGTCTCGCGCTCACCTGATAACAACATTTACATTTCCTTGCCATATGTTTTCCAACTGAGTGAAAAGCTGCGGCGCATTAAATATGCGTCCAAACTCTACCTGATATTCAAACCTTGTGCTACTCTACGTAGCCGACTAAACCACCTCAAGGCCCAGAAACCAAAGGAGCAGAAAGCCGGTTGGATGTACCAACTCCCATGCTGCTGTGGTGCGGTTTACATGGGCGAAACGGGTAATATAATCGGAAGACAGACCACATAAAGAATC